TGCTTACTTATCTTAGGATGAGAAACAATGACAGCAGCTGTTCTCTCTGTTAAAGTGGATCAGATGTTGAAAAGGGAATTAAGATTTCAATTGGAGAATTCAGTTTTTTGGACTGACAGTCAAACTGTGCTCAAGTACATCAAGAATGAAAACAAATGCTTTCAAACCTTTGTTGCAAATAGGGTATCTTACATAAGAGATAGGACACTGCTTCAACAGTGGAAATATGTTGCCACCAAGGAAAATCCTGCAGATGATGCTTCACGTGGAATGCAGGTCAAGGCCTTTATGCACAGTAAAAGAATGATTGCAGGTCCCAGCTTTCTTTGGAGAGCAGAAGATTATCAGTCAGCCCCAAAGGAGGAAATTGTGAACATGCATGATGGTGATCCAGAGATTAAGAAAGACCTTAGAGTGAATACTGTGATCCTGCAGGGTAGACAGAATGCCAATAACTGTTTTATCACTTATTTTTCAGATTGGAAAAAATTGAAAGTGGCAGTCGCTTGGATACTCAAGATGAAGAAGCTATTGAATAAGATATGTCTCAAAAGGAAGGAATTACTGTCACTGGAAAGGAATTGCAATGCTACTAAAACAACCATAGATACCCAAATTAAATTGTTCAAAGCAACTCTGGGCGGACAGTCTTTGGAAGACCTCTTTGAGGCTGAAATGGCCATTGTTCGTTTCAGTCAGCAACAAGAGTTTCGAGACGAGATTGAACAACTAAAGCACAGTTCCCGTGGAGTCAAGAAGGAGAGCAGCATATACAGATTGGACCCTGTATTGGATGACGAACTCATAAGAGTAGGAGGAAGACTCAGGAAGGCAGCTATGCCTATTGAATCCCAACATCCCATCATTTTGTCCAAGAATCACCATATTTCGAATCTTCTGCTTCGTCACATTCATGAACAATTGGGTCATTGTGGCAGGAATCATATGTTGTCCAAATTGAGACAAACATATTGGATTACAAATGCCAATGCCGCTGTAAGAAAGGTCATTTCCAAATGTATTGTATGCAGACGTTACAGAGGAAAGACAGGTGAGCAAAAAATGGCCGATTTGCCTTTTGAACGAATTACACCTGATCTTCCAACTTTTACAAATACTGGGGTGGATTACTTCGGTCCTATCGAAGTTAGAAGAGGACGTAGTACTATAAAACGTTATGGAGTGATTTCTACTTGTATGGCAAGTAGAGCGGTGCATTTGGAAGTAGCATATTCCTTGGACACAGATGTTGATGTCATTTCCTCTAGCTGCTCCATGTTTACATCTGTTCTGTTGCTTTTGTGTTGATGCTGAAATAATGAGACCTCTGGATGGTGGAGTTTGATGTTCATGACCACTGAGTCTATCAAACCCAGCGCATCCTTTTTTTCTATTTCCACTCATCTTCAGTTAAATACAAAATTAAAGTGTTTTCTGTTCAGAATGGTGAAATAAATCCTAACAAAACATTCGTTCTTAAAAAAAAAATCAAGATTCAGCTCTGCATAATAAAGAAGAAGAAGAACAGATGGCCTTTTCCCTACAAGATCAACCTTTGGATTGTAGCAAAATCAATGGATGGTTGAACTTTAGCAAAAGGTTGGATCTAAAATGGTTAAGTTGCAATTCAGTGCATCGGAGCCTGTTAAAATCACATTTCATAATACACACCTAATGATCACTACAGATGATTCAATGTAACTTAGTTCATTTATTTGTGATAACAACTATTTAATGACAAACAAACTCAGATTCCAGGCGTTATGAGTTAAATCAGATGTTTTTAATGTCACATTAACATACAAAGATCTTACAAGTTCCTTTAAGAAACTAGTGTTTATGCATTCTCAAGTTTAGCACTTACTCCCTGGCTGACTTAAACTTACAGAAAACAAATATATATAAATGTATAAAAATTTTCATCTCAGATCACAAGGGACCTGATTTTTGTCTTCTACTGAGGTTGTGGTTCAGGTTTTTGTGAGGGCTTTGGCTTATTTACAGTACTTTGGCTCTGACACTGAAATTACTTTTCTGAGAGCATTTACAAAAATTGACACCATGATGACAATCCTAAATCATGCTGTTCTTGTAATCAGGAACCCCATAGTTCAGAGTTCAGTGAGATCTGCTGATGTTCTGTAGGCAGATAACGAGCTCTTTGAATGGGTGAATCCAGCAGAAGAAACCTGAGAGAACCAGGTACAGCACAGCTCAACATACTTCAAGAACTGAAAGAGACATGAGCTGGAGAAAACATCTATAACAGACAGATGATGTGAAAGAGTGGACCTTTACCTCGAATGCCCTACAGGTCTCCATGTTCATCCTCGCAAAGTTCTTGCATCTCAAATGCTTCATAAAACACAGACCATTACAATTTACAACATTTTTGTTACAACAAAGTACAAAGAATCACAATTTACAATGAAAGATCGATTTCAATAATGAAGACATTCAGGACAAGCAGCAAACATCTGAAGATTATAATAAAAAATTCATATTTTTGTTATATAAGTAAATAATTATTTTATGAAATGTGCTTAAATTACATTCAGAGTAGCACAAGTAAAAGGATTGTGCATCAGGAACAGTTATGGAACATAATACATAACAATATACAGTATTACAAAAATACTTATTTGGCAGTTTGCTGTTGCTTCAGTGTCTTTCAGTGCAGTTATTACAGGCTCAGTTCCTGAGACTCACAAACAAACAAGTAAAAACACAAATCGTTACATCGACTTTAACATAAATAAAAGGATTCCTGCTGAAAACACCATCTTAGAGTAACGTGAATCTTGGGAATAACGGCATACTGGTGTTTCCTCTCTAGTGTTGTCAAGATAATACTAAAACTGTACAGATGTAACATTACCAGTATCAGACAGCCGCTCTGTAAAGAGAGCTTGTCTTGCACTCAGTATGACATTTCTTGGTCAAAATGTTCATTTTATGTTAAGTATTCATGTTCACAGTCAGTCATGAAGTAGGCTAATGTATACAGAAATGGGCAAAACATCTTGCAGGTCTTGCAATGTCATGCAAATGCTGCTGTTATTAATGATTACAAAAATCCTGAAAAGAAAAAGATTTGCTCACTGTTCCTGTCTGGATCAAATTAGCAGGAACCTAAATATACTGAAAAACCTCAAGCACTCTTTGTTCTGTTGCAGGAAACCCGTTTCTTGTCATCTCTTTTGTGTAAATATATTTATACAGAATTAATATTTTTTAAATGTATTATTTAAATGAATAAAAAATGAATTATAGCAAATTAGTTTTTGTAATATGTTAAAGCTGGTGTCGAGTGTAGTGAGTTTAGCTGATGCTCTTCTCCCATTTCTCTTCACTCTCTCTTTGAATGAAGTATCATAATAATGAATAATGTTACGTTGGTGCAGGCCCGGTTTCAAACAAAATCAATAGCACCCTCAGTTAATGCTGTAATAATGGCATTTACCAAGTGGTAATAAGAGGCGAACCAAGATGAAGTGGGGGCCCCATGCAAAAAAAGTGCTTATTCTTTAACGAAATATCAATCTTCATCTTTATGGCAGAAGATACAATACTGTACAATACAATCTTGAAGATCCACTACAATCTTCATATTTACAGTAACGGATTGTCACCTTAAAAATGGTGCTTACGAGCCTTAGCTACAGCAAATGCTGTCACTATGTCCTCCATATCCAAAGACCGTTGTATGTTCCGCTCAATTGAAATTAGTGCCAGTGCTGACAGCCTCTCTTCGTTCATTGTTGACCTGAGGTATGCTTTTATCAGCTTTACTAGTTTTATTAGTTGACAACTTATTATGTTAACTCAACTAATTTAATGTAGAAGAGCTAAATAAATAATGTAAACTAAGTAAATGTAATGAATGATAATAATATGCTGCTGTTAAGTGCAACCCTAGCTAGCCTGTTTCCCAGTAACCCTATTAGTAATTGGACTATTACCAGTAATTCATCTTGCAAATAATTAAACGAAAATAAGCTGGAATTAACAACAAAAACATTTGTTTGTCATATAATTATCCTTAAATCTTATCTCCATCATTTACTGCTGTCATGTTTCCTCTTTTCCTCCTCTTCTTGCTTTTTTCCGCTTCTGGCTGCCAGACGGATAAGTCCTCTTCATGTTTAAATTAGCAAATGCACGAGTAAGCGCTGTGCCAGTTTGAAAACGGCGGCCGACTCATCACAAGGGAAAAGCAAAAGGGTTGCATCGCACCGTGTAAACATAAAATCATGTCTGCATTTGTGATCGGAGAAATGACAAACAACAAGCCCTACTCTACACTGCCCAAAAATTTGCTTTAAATATATAAAATATAAAAATATTTAAATATAAAAGACGTACTTACAGTCTGTGAGTCAGAACAGCCGGCATTGTAGTCTACTCTACCAGGATCAGGAAACAGTCCTCCATAAAATGTGCTGCACACATCTGAATATTTGGGTTGAACTGTTCTGGAACAGTGTTGTAAATACAACTTAACCACTGATTTCTAGTCGTGTCCATTTTGGAAGGCCAAACAAAGTAGTTTCGCTTTCACAACGAAACACAGCGTCACACACCGCGGCCTACAGTGAGCAGAGGCCAGGGGATAAAGTGAGGAATGGCAGGAGGGTTAGAGTGAGCAGAGGCGTGGGCGGCGATTTCGACGAAGAAGCCTCCGGAAGGACATGTGACGACTCCGGGCTGGACTCCACTTAGTCCACGGTGAAAGCCGATCCGGCGATCCACACCGCAAAGTTGTAGTATTTCCTCAGCGTAAATAAAGTGTAGACGCGATGTAAATAAGAGATTCATAGTGCAGCATTGAGAACTTCATTGATTATAACGTAACTTTGTGAGATAAGAGCGCGCTCGCGCGATAGAGAGATAGATGGCACATATATATTTTATATATATATATATATATATATATATATATGAATGCATGTATATAGCGCGAGAGAGAGAGAGAGCACCCTCACTAATTTAAGAAACACCCTCAGTGATTTGATTCCGGAGCCGGGCCTGTGTTGGTGTCGCATTGGCAGCATTAGTCTCAGTCGGGGACGTCTGACTGGCAGGAGTCATCAATAGAGAGTCAGTCTGATCAGGGGACGAGTCTTCAACATTCACCTGTAAGAAAATAATGAATGAATGAATTATGCATTTATATAGCACTTTATTGTGTATTGTTGTACACCCAAAGCACTTTACAATCATGTTGGGGGGGTCTCTCCTCAACCACCACCAGTGTGCAGCATCCACTTGGATGATGCGACGGCAGCCACAGGACAACGGCGCCAGTGCGCTCACCACACACCAGCTACAGGTGGAGAGGAGAGAGAGTCATAGAGCCAATCAAGTGGATGGGGGTTATTAGGAAGCCATGATAGACAAGGGCCAGTGGAGGGAATTTGGCCAGGACAAAATTCTCTTTACGAGAAGTGCCATGGGATTTTTTAATGACCACAGAGAGTCAGGACCTCGGTTTAACGTCTCATCCGAAGGACAGTGCTTTTTACAGTATAGCGTCCCCATTACTACACTGGGGCGTTAGGACTTTATTGTGTATTGTTGTACACCCAAAGCGCTTTACAATCATGTGGGGGGGTCTCTCCTCAACCACCACCAGTGTGCAGCATCCACTTGGATGATGCGACGGCAGCCACAGGACAACGGCGCCAGTGCGCTCACCACACACCAGCTACAGGTGGAGAGGAGAGAGAGTCATAGAGCCAATCAAGTGGATGGGGGTTATTAGGAAGCCATGATAGACAAGGGCCAGTGGAGGGAATTTGGCCAGGACAAAATTCTCTTTACGAGAAGTGCCATGGGATTTTTTAATGACCACAGAGAGTCAGGACCTCGGTTTAACGTCTCATCCGAAGGACAGTGCTTTTTACAGTATAGCGTCCCCATTACTACACTGGGGCGTTAGGACCCACACAGACCACAGGGTAAGCACCCCCTGCTGGCCTCACTAACACCTCTTCCAGCAGCAACCTAGTTTTCCCAGGAGGTCTCCCATCCAGGTACTGACCAGCTCAACCCTGCTTAGCTTCAGTGGGCAACCAGTCTTGGGCTGCAGGGTGATATGGCTGTGGCATATCAAGATTCACAGAAAATAAAAGAAATGAACAGGACTGATGTGAGTTAAACAAAAAATACAAGAGACCATATACCACAACATACACATGAAACCGTATACACACTCACACAAATTTTGCAAAACAGATCTGAATCTGTTTTTATGTTTGTTTGTTTTGGTTTGGTTTTGCAGAGAGACAGACAAAAAGTCTTTTGAATTTGATAGTATCTCACCTGATCAGCACACTTCCTCATGATGTCTGTTTGGACAACAAAAAAAATCACATTACATTGGTTAGAGTAAGAAAATGGAAATTAAATTTTTTTTAAATCTCAAATTTCCATCATGTCAAATCAGCTGTATGTAACACTCACTGTTCCTTCTTGAACGCCACTTGCAAGAGTAAAATAAACCAGCAGATGCGACCAGCAGCAGCAGAACAGCAGAAACAGCAGCATATACTCCTGTTAGGTCAGCTGAAAACAGACAGTCGTTAATACTAGTGAGAAATCCTGTATTTACCAAACATCTTTGACTGATATTTGACTGAGCTTTCTTCTTTGGGCATCAGTTCTTTATGGAAGCCCGTTTCTTCCACTGAATTAAAAAAAAGAAAAAAGGTATGTGCATACCTAAACTCGCAATTTGAGAGAAAAAAAAAACAGAACTACGAGATATAAATGTGTAATTCTAACTTTATAACATGCAATTGCGATTTTATATCACATAAACTCTGACTTTGTAAATCACAGCTGTGAGTTTATATCTTGCAAATCTTAGGGGGGGGGGGGGGAAGTCAGAATTGCGAGATGTAAACTCGAAATTGCAAGAAAAAAATTATGAGACAAAAAGTTGCAATTACCTTTTTTATTTTATTTTTTTTATTCAGTGGCAGGAATGGGCTTCCATAGTTTTATTATATTTATGTAACTGATAAAGAGAAGAGCAGCTAAAACATTATAGTACTACAGCTCAACAGGAAACAGCAGCACAATTTTTATTTTTTTTGTTCAGCACAAAAAAAACAACAACTGTTTGTTTTGTCATTTGATGTGCATGAGAAGGTGAAAGAGATGACCTTGATTATATTTTTACATTGAATCAAAGATGACATTTTCAAAAAGGCTGCAATTAAAACGGTAACACTTTACAATAAGGTTCATTAGTTAACTACATTAGTTAACATGAACTAATAATGAACTGCACTTATACAGCGTTTATTAATCTTTGTTAATGTTAATTTCAACATTTACTAATACATTATTAAAATCTTGTTAACATTAGTTAATGCACTGTGAACTAACATGAACTAACAATGAACATCTGTATTTTTATTAACTAACGTTAGCGTAGATTAGTAAATACAGTAACAAATGTATTGCTCATGGTTAGTTCATGTTAGTTAATACATTAACTAATGTTTAACTAATGAACCTTATTGTAAAGTGTTACCAATAAAACTTTACACTGCTTTTCTAAACCTGCTCAACGGAAAATGACTAAATGGCTAAATGATACTCACCAGTGACAGTAACACTGAAGCTCCTAGTGATGTCGATGTAGTTGCTGTTGATCTGTAGTTTATAAAGTCCAGAGTCTGTGCTTCTGGTGTTTGTGATGGTCAGAGATCCAGTCTGATTGTCCAGCTGCAGTCTGTCTCTGAATCTCCCGTCACACTCATCATCTGTACAGATCTTACTCTGATCACCAGTGATCTGAGTGATGAGAGTGTGACTGAAATACCATTTTATCACATTTGGGTTTTTTATTACACGAGTGTCTAAAGTAACAGATTCTCCCTCCTTCACTGACTTTCTCTTCATTTCATCTCGTTGAGCAGCAAAAACACCTGAAACACAAACCAACAGCTGCTGGAGGATCTTTCGCTGAAAACAACAAACAAACCACACGACATGAGAGAACTGTGGCTATGAAAGCAATTTTCATGCTCTTTCTGAAAAGCAAGATTTGTCCACTTTTTGTGCTTGTGTAGCATACTTTTTTTTTGTTGTTGCATCAAATCCTCTGAAAAGATGATCAGAGATGGTTTGATGGAAAAAAAAAAACTTCTCCCAAAATGTTAACACACCAGCTGACAAACAAAACAAAACTATTGAACTAAACTAAAACTACTAACTGTACAATGTTTTTAAACACAATGACTCACCATGTGGAGCAACTCTGAAGGTCTTTTCACTGACTTTTCTCTGATGATCCGTATTTAAGATGCTGCTGATAATCTCCAGTTCATAAAGTCCATAGTCTGTGGTTGTGATGTTTGTGATGGTCAGAGATCCGGTCTGATTGTCCAGCTGCAGTCTGTCTCTGAATCTCTCAGTGCCTTCATTACACTGAACATCTGTACAGAAATGACTGAGATCTCCAGTGATTTCAGCGATGAGACTGTCATTATTAAACCATCTAACACCTTTCTGCTGGTTTGTTTTAACATCAGTGTGTAGAGTCACTGAATCTTCCTCCATCACAAACGCTGATACTCCATCTGAACCAACACCAGAAAATCCTGAAGAAGAAATGAACATTTAATTATAAACCAAACAAAATGATACAACAGGAAATTGCTGTGAAAATATTTTTTTTACAGACCATAAAAACTGTGGATATTGAATATGTCTGGATTCATAATGTAACGCATGCAAACAAACAATACTCTTAAAACGCCAATAAATGCAAAGTTAAATTTTTTTTTTTAAAACTCTCCACTGGAAAAAACTAAACCATTTCAAATCTACAAACTCCACTTTAACAGTGAATGTGTTTTTAAAGAAATGATCTATGCGCTATATGTGAATTACAATATAGGTGAAGAGAAAAAAAAACACATCTGAATATCATTAAACACATCAATGATGTGATTTAAATGTACAAGACTTGCTTTCAAACACAATGACTCACCATATACAGCGACACTGAAGATTTTTCTACTGATTCTGCCGCTTTTGCTGATGATCTTGAGTTGATAGAGTCCAGAGTCTGTGTTTCTGATGTTCATGATGGACAGAGATCCAGTCTGATGATCCAGCTTCAGTCTCTCTCTGAATCTGTCAGAACCTTTATTACACTGAACATCTGTGCAGATATAACGGAGATCTCCAGTAATTGCAGCTATTTGAAAGCCATCAAAATACCACATAATCTTTTCTGGTTTGTCTGTTTTGAAACCAGTCTGTAGAGTGACTGAATCTCCCTCCTTCACTGACACTGACCCTCCATCTTTATCAGCACTAGACACACCTGAAGAAAAAATGAACTATGAATCATATTAGCCAATCAAATTGATACAACAGGAAACAAAATTTCTACAAATTTACAGTTTCAAGAAACTGTGCCATTTGCCACCACATTAAGGTACAACATATTTTATTTTTAAAAGATACTGTTTGAATATCCCACATAAATGTTTTCATTGGCATGTTTACTCATTTGGCAGAAACTTTTATCCAAATCAGACTCACGGTGTTTCTAATGTACATTATTCAGATTATGCACTGATGTAAAATGTCAACATTTATGAAGCCATGTTACATTTAGATAAAGTTTTTATTTAAGTTACTAATCTGAGCATGTACAGGGATCACATTTTCAAAGTATTTCAAATCATGATGATGGTATAAAGTGTCTAAGTTAGAGATCTGTTATTTTGCAGTATGTAAATATATCTGCATAGCACAATAGTGTCCTACTTAAATTTATAGGCCTACACTTAAGAGTTCATGCATGAATGAGAAAATAAAGAGTGGAACGTGTTTGATGTTAAATAGAGTTATTAAAGGCTGGGTAGGTGATTTGGTTCAAAAACATTTTCTGTTATGCTGGTTGAAAGTCTCTTCACATCCCGATAGCAATCACTAAGTTAAGTGGTCTATATTTATTTATATGTATTTATATTTTCTGTGGAAGGTGTAAAACCATAAAATGTTCATCCAATCAAAATGTTCGGTCCAAACATTACGATAGGCTGTCCTGCCTGCCTGTCAAAATATGTATTTGCATACCTCTGCGCACCGTTTGTGCAGACATGATACGTCATCGGCACGTTCCAGCCAGAATGAAAGGCGTTATTATTGTAATATTATGCGCTTTGTATTGTAATGTTTTATCGCTGGTGAATGAGACATGAGGTAATCTGACAGTGTTGCATTCAACCCTCCACCAACGCAGTCTCTCCTCGTGTCGCTGGTCAGCCTCTGCTCTGTCTGTGTGCGTTCATGTGTTTTGGAGGAGGCGTGGCTTTGGAGAGTGATTTGCAGGGAGGGTGGGATCTTATACTTTCAAAGCTAACTTGCTATTGCTAGCCTTTTCAAAATTGCCTACCCTACCTTTAATGCTGCATGTCAACTGTTCTGAGCATCTTTCATGCTGGCCTTGGACAGTCGGTTAAAATCGCCGGGGGCCTCCCCACAGCCATGGACCCTATAATCGTCACCAACTTTCTCCTATTAGCGACGGCCAGGGATGGGCAGTATTTCAGTTACATACGTATCAGTTCAAATACATACGTATAAAATACGTATTTGAAATACAAAATACTATTTTGTATTTTAAAGCAGTTGGCAAAAAGGATGCCCTGAACTGCAACGTGAAAAAAAAAATCCAAGGTAGGAGAAGAAATATATCTAGTGTCCTAGACCCGTCCTAAGAATGTTTTTCTCTTTCATCTTTTTTTCTCTCCAAAAATGTTTCCCCCCCCCCCTCTCTATCAAAAACTTTTTTCTCCCTCTACAAAAACATTTTTTATTTAAAAACTTTTTTTCTCCCTTCGAAAACTTTTCTTTTCTCACTTCTTTCGCTCTTTTCATTTTTTTTTGTCTCACTTCAAATTATTTTTCTCTCTCCGACTCAACACGAGTTAAAACAAATGATGGCTAGCTAAAGTTAGCATGTACCCTGACCTGGAAGGGACATGTTCGGTTCACTTACGGTAAACGGGAAGGGACATTAACGGTTCACTTAGGCTAGTTTTGTATGGTTTTGTCACGGACACGATCATTTTGTCAAGGGAATGACATCGTTATGTCGTGGCCACGCGATGTGGAGCCTATGTTGAATATATGTTTTTCAACGGCTCTTGCTGCGTCCCAATTCGCATACTATCCGTCCTAAATAGTATTCGAAAATAGAATTAGTATGTTCCAAATCATAGTATGTTTAAAAATGCATGCCAAAGATTCCCGGATGGTCTACTACTTCCGGTTAGAATTCGAAGTGCAGATCGATGCACACTCTAACGGCTAATATTGCCTACAACACATTGCGCGGTGGACGAGGATTCGGTTAGAACTACAAACATGGTGGATTTACGCGACCAATGGAAAGGGAAAGAGAAAGGGATTTGAGTGATAAATAATCAATGTCTAACTTGATGAAAAATATAAATTTAATGTTATCCATGTTATATTTCATCTGTAGCAACACTGTGAACTTTTATAATGATACGTTTGGTCATTAACTTTTAAATGCATCATTATGCAAACACATGAGCAGAGTTCTCCGCATGATAGTCCCAGGACTAGCAGATCAACATGCCTCTTCATTTCTCTCCAATACGGTAGGAAATCAAATTAAACGAAATGTGGATGATGTTAACTGTGACAAGATGATTGACCAGGCAGTTTAAACAGTGACAGAATGCACGTAACTAACGGAGCGTCTGTTAAAGACGCAGTTATGACGAAGTAGTATGTCCCAAAGCTTGCCTGCTATTCTTCTACATAATCAAAAGTATGTACTTTTTCTTCACAAAAAGAGTAATGTTCGGTTCACTTACGGTAAACGGGAAGGGACATTAACGGTTCACTTAGGCTAGTTTTGTATGGTTTTGTCACGGACACGATCATTTTGTCAAGGGAATGACATCGTTATGTCGTGGCCACGCGATGTGGAGCCTATGTTGAATATATGTTTTTCAACGGCTCTTGCTGCGTCCCAATTCGCATACTATCCGTCCTAAATAGTATTCGAAAATAGAATTAGTATGTTCCAAATCATAGTATGTTTAAAAATGCATGCCAAAGATTCCCGGATGGTCTACTACTTCCGGTTAGAATTCGAAGTGCAGATCGATGCACACTCTAACGGCTAATATTGCCTACAACACATTGCGCGGTGGACGAGGATTCGGTTAGAACTACAAACATGGTGGATTTACGCGACCAATGGAAAGGGAAAGAGAAAGGGATTTGAGTGATAAATAATCAATGTCTAACTTGATGAAAAATATAAATTTAATGTTATCCATGTTATATTTCATCTGTAGCAACACTGTGAACTTTTATAATGATACGTTTGGTCATTAACTTTTAAATGCATCATTATGCAAACACATGAGCAGAGTTCTCCGCATGATAGTCCCAGGACTAGCAGATCAACATGCCTCTTCATTTCTCTCCAATACGGTAGGAAATCAAATTAAACGAAATGTGGATGATGTTAACTGTGACAAGATGATTGACCAGGCAGTTTAAACAGTGACAGAATGCACGTAACTAACGGAGCGTCTGTTAAAGACGCAGTTATGACGAAGTAGTATGTCCCAAAGCTTGCCTGCTATTCTTCTACATAATCAAAAGTATGTACTTTTTCTTCACAAAAAGAGTACATACTTTTAGGGCATAGTATAAGTAGGCGAATTGGGACGCAGCATCTGTGTTGAGGGAACTCGTGGCCAAGGAAACAAACGCCTAACTCGTGGCAACGTGTAAACAAACCTGCGTGATCATGGCAACCTGGGATTATCAGAAATGGATATTATTAATTAATTAATATTTTATTTTGAATTAAGTATGAAAGGCAGTGCTGCAAGACATGAATATTAGGCTACGGTTAATTATTCATATTTCCCCATGAGCTAAATTCGCTACAGTTTACACTAGTGTGTTTTCGTTTTAAAACGGCGTTTTAAAATGAAAATGATCCTTCTCTACACTGGCGTTTGCACAGCATTTCAGAAACGATCTCCGTCCACACTACACAACCGAAAACGCAGGTCACATGACCATTCATGCAGCTACAACAATGAGCATGATGTTATTGTTGAATGTGGGCAGCCACGCCATCCTTTTCAAAAGTCTCCTCTTTGGTCCGTTTACACTAAAACACAACGCAGGAGTTTTCTAAATAAAATGGGGTCTGCAGCATTTACGAAATCTCCATTTTCGATTGTCGAAAATGGCGGGGTAGTGTAAGCGACAGGCGCAACAGTAGCAAAAGTTATGCGTTTTAAAAAGAAAACGCACTATGTAAACGTAGCATTAGGCTACATTAGCCTATTATATTCTGCACAATGTGTTGATAGGCTACCTCCTGCCCGTGACAGCATTCTAAGCTAGATAGATAGATAGATAGATAGACAGATAGACAGATAGACAGATAGATAGATAGATAGATAGATAGATAGATAGATAGATAGATAGAATTGTACAGTAAGAAAGATATTTCCTTTAACCAGGATATTAACGTTCTTAGAATTGACAAGACGGTTGACCCTGAGTGGTCAGCTAAATATCTACAGTGGATCTAAAATATTAATAATTAATCATAATTAGTTATGGTTAATTATTCATATTTCCCCATGAGCTAAATTCGCTACAGTTTACACTAGTGTGTTTTCGTTTTAAAACGGCGTTTTAAAATGAAAATGATCCTTCTCTACACTGGCGTTTGCACAGCATTTCAGAAACGATCTCCGTCCACACTACACAACCGAAAACGCAGGTCACATGACCATTCATGCAGCTACAACAATGAGCATGATGTTATTGTTGAATGTGGGCAGCCACGCCATCCTTTTCAAAAGTCTCCTCTTTGGTCCGTTTACACTAAAACACAACGCAGGAGTTTTCTAAATAAAATGGGGTCTGCAGCATTTACGAAATCTCCATTTTCGATTGTCGAAAATGGCGGGGTAGTGTAAGCGACAGGCGCAACAGTAGCAAAAGTTATGCGTTTTAAAAAGAAAACGCACTATGTAAACGTAGCATTAGGCTACATTAGCCTATTATATTCTGCACAATGTGTTGATAGGCTACCTCCTGCCCGTGACAGCATTCTAAGCTAGATAGATAGATAGATAGATAGACAGATAGACAGATAGACAGATAGATAGATAGATAGATAGATAGATAGATAGATAGATAGATAGATAGATAGTAACTTCCCGTAAGTGCGCCTAGATAGGCCACGAGGAGCATTGAGCTAAAATGTAATCTTTTATTTCTATTTCGGCAAGTAATAAGTAGGCTATATTAGTAAACATAATTAGGCCTATAAACATGTAGCTAATTAGCGGGGTTTAGTAAGGAAGCATTGTATGATTGCTATTTATTAAATAGGTAACACTGCAATAAATCTGCGTATACATTAGCACAGTATACTGTGCATTAAATTATATTAAGACGTTTTTTTCAACTTTTTACTCTCTCCAAACGCTTTTCTCGCCTCAATTTTTTTCTCTCTTCATAAACATTTTTTTCTTCAAAAACGTCTTTCTCTCCAAAAACTTTTTTCTGTAATTTTTTTTCTCTCACCAAAAACTTTATTTCTCTCTTCAAACTTTTTTCTCTATCAAAATTTTTTTCTCTCTTTAAATATTTTTTCTCTCTCCAAAAACTTTATTTTTCTCGCTTCCGTTTTTTCCCCCTCTCTCTCTGTAATTTTTTTCTCTATTCACATTCTCTCTCACAAAACGTTTTTTCTCTCTGCAAAAAAAAAATTCTCTCTTAAAAAACTTTGTCTATCATAAAACTTATTTCTTTAACATTTTTTTTTCTCTTTCACAAAACTTTTTTTTTTCTCACACTTTTTTTCACAAAACCTTTTTTTCTCTCACAAAATATCATGGATGATAAGTTTTACATACACTACCAATCAAATGTTTTTGAACAGTAAGATTTGTAATGTTTTTTAAAGAATTCTCTTCTGCTCACCAAGCCTGCATTTATTTGATCTAAAATACAGCAAAAGCAGTAATAATAACTATTATAACTAATAACTGCTTTCTATTTGAATATATTTTCAAATGTAATTTATTCCTGTGATCAATGCTACATTTTCAGGATCATATATTTGTTTATATTTTTTTTATATTTCGCATATCATGAAATAAGACGACATAAAAAGTACCGCTTATTTAATTTTCCACCAAATGTTGTTTTCCATACATTTGTTAAAGGCATGCCTTTATTACATTTAATAAAGGCATGTATATTAGATTTGTAATGTTGAGTCTTTGTTTTTCAAACATTCCATGAAGAACATTTACTTAAATCGAAATTGAAGGAAAAAGCATTTAATTATTAAATGTAACTCACCAGTGACATTAACAATGAAGCTCTTTATGATGCTGATTCTGCTGCTGCTGTTGATCTGTATCTTGTAATCTCCAGAGTCTGTAGTTCTGATGTTTGTGATGGTCAGAGATCCAGTCTGATGATCCAGCTTCAGTCTACCTCTGAATCCCTCATCACCATCTTCACAGCTCTTACTCTGATCTCTAGTGACTTCAGTCATGCAAATGTCATTAAAATACCACATCATCGGATAATTCAGGTTGTTTATTACATCAAACTCAAAGTGACAGATTCTCCCTCCGTCACCGACTTCATCTTCATTTCATCTCGTTCAGCGGCAGAAACACCTAAAACATAAAATAACAGCTGATTGAGGGATCTTTTGCAGAAAAAAAAAACCTAATTCCACAACATGAGAGAACTGTGGATATGAAAGTGATTGTCATGGACTTTCTTGATTTTCAGCTTGAAAAGCAACATTTTGTTGTGATTGTGAAACATATTTTGCATTTATATACTTTTTGACCTTTGGATTCCGATTTGGATTCACCAAAACAAAATGTTTGTTAAAAAATCAAATGTTTTATATCATAGTGAACTACATTTGTAGTTAAATCTACAAATTCCGAAAACAGTAAATGTGTTTTTGAAGAAATTATCTACATACTGTATGTGAATTCATATACAGGTAAAGAGAAAAAAAACACCTCTAAATATCACTAAAAACAACAATGATGTGATTTAAATGTACAAGACCAGCTTTTACACATAATGACTCACCATGAACAGCAACACTGAAGGTGTCATGACTGATGCCACTGTCTCTGATGATCTCTAGATGATAGACTCCATAGTCTGAGGTTCTGGTGTTTGTGATGGTCAGAGATCCAGTCTGATGATCCAGCTTCAGTCTGTCTCTGAATCTCTCATCACTATATTTACACTGAACATCTGTGCAGATAAAACTGAGATCTTCAGTGATTTGAGCGATGCGGATTTCATAAAAATACCATCTAATCTCCTCTTGTTGGTTTGTTTCAACATCAGTGTGTAGAATGACTGAATCTCCCTCCATCACGAACACACTGTCTGTATGAACACCGTAAACACCTGAAAAAATTAACATAATCATAAGCCAAACAAAACATTCAGGAAAGTGCTGTGAAAATATTCTTTCTACAGATCATAGAGCTTGCGAGTGATAACTTAAGTACGTAAGTGCAAGACAGACAGTGCTCATTTCACATAGTGGATCAGACACCTACGAGATCAAAGATGAATATATTTTGTGAGTTTCATCACTAAATAACACTCACCAGTGACATCAACAATGAAGCTCCTTCTGATGCTGAACCGGATGGTGATTATCAGCAGATAATAGAGTCCAGTGTCTTCACTTCTGGTGTTTGTGATGGTCAGAGATCCAGTCATATGATTCAGTTTCAGTCTGTCTCTGAATCTCTCGTCAGCATATAAACACTGAACATCTGTACAGATAAAACTAAGATCTCCATTGATTTCAGCGATGTGAACGTCATTAAAAAGCCATTTCATCAAATAATTTGTGGTTTTTACTACACCAGGATCTAAAGTGACAGATTCTCCCTCCTTCACTGACATTCTCTTCGTTTTCTCTCGTTTAGGAACACCTGAAACACAAACCAACAGCTGCTGGAGGATCTTTTGCTGAAAGCAACAAACAAACTACACGACATGAGAGGACTGTGAATATTAAAGTGATCGTATAAGGGACATAATGACTCACCATAGACAGAAACACTGAAGAGCTGAAGACGACTGTCGCTGCTGCTGTTGGTCTGTAGTTTATAAAGTCCAGAGTCTGTGGTGTTGATGTTCCTGATGGTCAGAGATCCAGTCTGATGATCCAGCTTCAGTCTGTCTCTGAATCTCTCATCAGCATCTTCACACTGATCATCTGTACAGATATGACTCTGATCTCCAGTGATTTCAGCAATGCGAATGTCATTAAAATACCATCTAATCTCTTCTTGTTGGATGGTTTCGACATCAGTGTATAAAATGACTGAATCTCCTTCCATCACTGACACTGACACTATATCTGCCCCAACACCGGAAAACCCTGAAGAAGAAATGAACAATTAATTATAAGCCAGCAAATGCATATAGTGGGAGTGGGCCACAACACTTGTTGGTTTTCTCAGTTTGCGTAAACGGTTTCCGAATATGTCATTTCCCCCACATTTCACACGTTTAGTACAAATATGTGGCCTTGTTTCATTAGTAGGCTACACTGTAGTGCTGAAAAACGTGGAGATTAAAAGCAGAATTGTCTTGTCTAACACAAAAATCGACTTGAAACAACCTCAGCAAGAAATGTACTTTTGCTGTGGTTAAATGTTCAGCGATATCTTACAAAGATTGTCGAATGTTAGAGCAATTTCTCTATAGCTATAGCGTTTCAATACACTAGTCATGCTCGTCTGTGGAAACATTTAAATGGTGGTCGCACACCGGACGAAAAGCGAAAATAGCAAAGTGCTGTGAAACTGTTGCGATTATACTGTCACGTTCGTTTTTATCTTTGACCAGAAGAGAGATTCTTAATATGAAATGCCTTACAGTGGTCGAGCAAACGACGTGGTCTGTCTAATATAAAGCTAACAGAGCTGAAACCGCGTCCAGCTCCTTTTAAAGTTGGCCGGAAAGAGATAGTAACATATGAATGTCTTACCATGCACAAGAACACAAAACAACAAGAAGAGAAAAATAAAGACTTGCTTCATTTTCAATGTTTGCTAGAAGATAGCAAAAGAAAAAAAGTGCTGTTCCTCTGTTTTAGCCTACTAGTAGGCTAAGTGAAAGTAATCTGGGAGGTTCAATCCTATAATGTCATTACAAATGTTGAAGACACTTGGTTGATGTGATGATCTTCAGCAATGTAATTTAGTATAGCATCATTTAGTTATTCATATTTAGTCATTTAGTTTAGTATCATTTAGTCATTTAGCAATAGGTTCTTGCTGTTAGTCCCATGTTTACTTTAAGAGCCGGGGGTTGGACTAGAGAGAGTGGGGAGAGTTGAGAGTTCAGAGTTTGCTGAGAGCGAGAGCATCGGGGTGTTTTTCTGTTATGTATGGCCTGATACCTTACCGACTGGGCCAAATGCTTAACATTTATTTATTATTAGCATTATTATTATTATAACCATAGAGAAATTGTGCAAGCGATAAAAACACGTCCTATGAGCTGTTGGCCCGTAAAAACTATTTTATTCATATATATTTAGAACAAATCTGACCGGCCCACAATAAACAAAATGGTCAGGCCCCTCTGGCATTTGCCAGAATTGCCAGATAGCCAATCCGCCCCTGCCCGGGTATGTCACATAACCTGCTTTCTGAAATACATACAATTTCTGGAAGTACAAACAAGGCTTCAACTGCACAAACCGCTTCCACTGCAAGAGAAAGCGGCAGCTGCGCGGTGATTCCACTGCTTGCCGCGTCCCATGTGAAAGGGCCTATAAAGGGTTAGTTCACCCAAAAATGCAAATTCTGTCATTAATTACCCACCCTCATGTCGTTCTAAACCCATAAGACCTCTGTTCATCTTCAGAACACAAATGAAGATATTTTTGATGAATTTTGAGAGCTCTCTGACCCTCCCATAGACAGCAGTGTAATTACCACGATCAAGGTCCAGAAACGTAGCAAGTAGATCGGTAAAATAATCCATGTGACATCAGGGGTTCAGCCGTAACTTTACAAAGCTACGAGAATACCTTTTGTACGCAAAGAAAACAAAAATAATGACTTTAACAATTCGTCTCCTCCGCATCCGCGTGACCCAGCTGACACAGAACAGCATACGCTGTTTGCGTTCAGTGGATATTCTAAAATGCAAATTCTGTCATTAATTACCCACCCTCATGTCGTTCTAAACCCATAAGACCTCTGTTCATCTTCAGAACACAAATGAAGATATTTTTGATGAATTTTGAGAGCTCTCTGACCCTCCCATAGACAGCAGTGTAATTACCACGATCAAGGTCCAGAAACGTAGCAAGTAGATCGGTAAAATAATCCATGTGACATCAGGGGTTCAGCCGTAACTTTACAAAGCTACGAGAATACCTTTTGTACGCAAAGAAAACAAAAATAATGACTTTAACAATTCGTCTCCTCCGCATCCGCGTGACCCAGCTGACACAGAACAGCATACGCTGTTTGCGTTCAGTGGATATTCTCCAAAATGGCACCAGGGTGATGCGGAGGAGACGAATTGTTGAATTAAGTCATTATTTTTGTTTTCTTTGCATACAAAAGGTATTCTCGTAGCTTCGTAAAATTACGGTTGAACCCCTGATGTCACATAGATTATTTTACCGATCTCCTTGCTAGTTTTCTGGACCTTGATCGTTTTAGGGGTCATTCACATATCGCGTCTTTTGCGCGCTCAAGTTCGTTATTTCAAATGTAGCCACGCGGCAGGCGCGCTCATAATGGAAGCGACGCGCATGCGGTGCGACGCGCTCGTTTTTTCCAGACACTTCCGCGCCGAAAAACATTTAATTTTTCAGAATGCCCCAAGCGCACCGTGGGTCATGTGACAAGAACCAACCAATCAGCTTCATCCTTTCCCGTAACAACATTGAAAGCTCAGTCAAGATGAAGGAACAGCTGATCATAGCTGTACAGGGATAGCCATTTTAAAATAAATTTAGTAGCAGAGCTACTGCAAGCGATTTTTAGTGCTGCAAATCCATTTATCCTTTGCTGAAACTCCCAAGTCTTCATGGAGAGCGCAGCTGATGGATGCTTAGCAACGGCAGACGCCTCCGGTGCTCAAGCGCCCGAACGCTTTGGAAAAAAGCAGAAAGCGGCGCACCTAGCGTTTTCCACGCGTTTTTAGGTGCGAAATGTGAACGGCCCCTTAGGATCCTTGGAGGGTCAGAGAGCTCTCAGAATTCATCAAAAAATATCTTAATTAGTGTTCCGAAGATGAACGAAGGTCTTACAGGTTTAGAATGACATGAGGGTGAGTAATTAATGACAGAATTTTCATTTTTGGGTGAACTAACCCTTTAAGTCAGAAATGTAGGCCTACTTGTGCGCGCGCACAAAAAACTGCCTGCCAAAGTGCCAGTGTGAACTTGAATTTCCTTTCACGGCATACGTGCAGCACATCACACTCTATTACTCAACCATCCATCCATGTTTCTTTATCCACTCCAAAGTTTTCCCACTTAAAGCTGCACGGATATATTCACACTTGATTGAACTATTCACACTTTATATCATCGCCACAATATTGTCAAATCACCCAGCCCTAACATGGAGTAATGCTTTAAACATTTGACAAGCTAGTTGATGAAAAACAACAACTGATTATCAAAACTGATTGACAAACACTATTTGTTCCCTTGTCTTAATTAGTGTTCCGAAGATGAACGAAGGTCTTACAGGTTTAGAATGACATGAGGGTGAGTAATTAATGACAGAATTTTCATTTTTGGGTGAACTAACCCTTTAAGTCAGAAATGTAGGCCTACTTGTGCGCGCGCACAAAAAACTGCCTGCCAAAGTGCCAGTGTGAACTTGAATTTCCTTTCACGGCATACGTGCAGCACATCACACTCTATTACTCAACCATCCATCCATGTTTCTTTATCCACACCAAAGTTTTCCCACTTAAAGCTGCACGGGTATATTCACACTTGGTTGAACTATTCACACTTTATATCATCGCCACAATATTGTCAAATCACCCAGCCCTAACATGGAGTAATGCTTTAAACATTTGACAAGCTAGTTGATGAAAAACAACAACTGATTATCAAAACTGATTGACAAACACTATTTGTTCCCTTGTCAGTGCTGTTTTCTTCTTTCATGTTAACTGAAGGCAAATCTGAATGATGCACTATTTTAACTTTACTCAACAAATACAATTGACCATGACACCCTGACCTCATCTTATTCCAGAAAAGTCACTCACCCAATGCTGAATGGAGTTGTACAGCTGCAGTTCACGTGATGGATGTTGGGGTTGTGGGGAGTTCATGTCTGAACTAAATCAGCACGCTGATAAAGAGGTTGACTGGCACAAAGTATTTTATTTTAAATGCATTTAAATACCAATTACATTTGATTTTTGCCAAAGGCTTATTTTGTATTTCAAATATGCATTTTAAATACATGTATCTGAAATACTGCCCATATAGGCAACATAAGGTAACGTAACTGATTTTACACAAATTTTTTATTTTAAATGCATTTAAATACAAATTACATTTGATTTTTGCCAAAGGCTTTAAAATACAAAATAGTATTTTGTATTTCAAATATGTATTTTAAATACATGTATCTGAAATACTGCCCATATAGGCAACATAAGGTAACATAACTGATTTTACACAAATGAAACTTGATTCTTAATACTGTGTTTGGAAAACAAACCATTTTTGATGAGGTTTTTGTGAGGAGTTTGGCATATTACAGTACTTCAGCTCTGACAGTGCAGTCTTTTCTGAGAACTTTACAAAAATAAGCATGATACACTTCTAACTTCTGTAGCAAACATCTTAAGATTATAATACACATGTATGCACATTATAATATTGTTGTTTTACCAATAAATGCATGTTAAAGGAAAAATTCACCCAACAATGAAAATGTGCTGAAAATGTAGTCACCCTAAAGCCGTCCAAAATGTAGTTGAGTTTGTTTCTTCAATGGAACATATTTTGGAGGTTATTATGCATTAAGAACTTATATTTTGGCCAGAAGCTACAGGTTCAAGTTAAAACACCTTAATGATTTTACCTGGTTCTGTCCCTGGACTTTTATGTTTAAGTTGTATTCCTGTTTCCTGTCACATGGTCCTTTGTAGTTTTTCTTGTTTGATCAGTCCCTGATTGTTATATTCCCAGCATTGTTAGTCCCTACTGTGTGTTTCCTGTGTTCATTGTTGGCTCATGTCCTTCTGGCTGTTTTTACTATTCACTGCAGGATTCACTGGTGCTTTAATGCTAGATTTCTCCAAAGCTGTTCTGATGAAGAAACAAACTCATCTACATCTTGGATGGCTGATTGGATGGCTGAGTTTGAATTTTCATGTGAATTATTCCTTTAAGTGTGCTTAAACACCCTTCAGTTGCTTAATATACCAGTAAAAAGCTTATTTAGCATCCAGTAACAGTTATGAAAATATATAACAAAATAACACATATTTGGCATTTGGTTGCTGCTTCTCTCCACCGTGTCTCTCAGTGCAGTTGTTGCATGTTCAAATCCTGATATTCAGAGTTTGATCAAGGACACAGTGGTGAGATTTCATGGATCAACCCTTGCAGGATTTGAACCATTAACAAAAAATGTATGACGCCACAAACAGACAAAAGCACAAAGCTTAACTTTAATATAAAAGGATTTCTGCTGAAAACACCAGTTTGTAGTACAGTGAATCTTGGGAACAACAGCATACTGGTGTTTTCATCAGGGATCTGCCCGGGTAGAACTGTAAAGTTGCTAATACGAAAATTCTAAAGATGTAACTTTAGCACCTTTAATAAACACTGACATACTGAAAGAAACCTCAAGCACTCTTTGTACTATTGGAATTAATATTTTTCTCTGTTTCTTAATGAGAAAGCCAACATGTTGTTTGATTCTGTCTGTTTTTTCTGATAGACTGCATGGCCTTCAAAACCTTTAAACATTATGCTTTTAAAACTACTCGAAACTTTCGGGTCAGGCTTTCTCAAACTTTAATCATTTAGTTGCTAATTTGTCTATTCTGAAGCTATGTTACATAATAACAAAAAAAATTAGGCTAAATTTGCTGCCCGGGTAGAACTGTAAAGTTGCTAATACGAAAATTCTAAAGATGTAACTTTAGCACCTTTAATAAACACTGACATACTGAAAGAAACCTCAAGCACTCTTTGTACTATTGGAATTAATATTTTTCTCTGTTTCTTAATGAGAAAGCCAACATGTTGTTTGATTCTGTCTGTTTTTTCTGATAGACTGCATGGCCTTCAAAACCTTTAAACATTATGCTTTTAAAACTACTCGAAACTTTCGGGTCAGGCTTTCTCAAACTTTAATCATTTAGTTGCTAATTTACGGTTTGTCTATTCTGAAGCTATGTTACATAATAACAAAAAAAATTAGGCTAAATTTTTATTATTTAAATCACTTAAAACTGAATTATAGCCAATTAGTTTGAATTTTAATTAGCTGAATTTTGTTTCACTGGCATCAGTACTGAATACTGAAATCTTGGTATCGTGACACTATTGGCTTCCCAACTTTTCTTTATGTTCCCTTTAAATGAAAGTATCAACATAATAAAGTTTCTGTGATGTCTCATTGGCAGCCCCAGTTTCAGTCTGATTCATTGGCAGGAGTCATCAACGGGGTCTTTTTCCGTCCTCAAGAAAACAGATTCACAGAAAGTAAAACAAATGAACAGGATTGATGTTTGAGTTGCACAAACACAAAAATACTTGATGAGTGCTATTGAGTGTTTCTCTTCACATTATTGATTAAAATAAACTATTCAGGAAGAATTTGAATATTTCTATAAAATAGCTTACAAACAATAAAAAAAATACAATAAAATGACTTATTGTGACTTCTAATTTTGCTTTTGAAAATCTGTATTAATCTTTCCTAAACAGCCTGCACATCTAAAATGCTTAAAGTATAGTATTGACAAGTATTAATAGAGTAGTATTGCTACTCTTACTTGCTGTGCTAATAAAGCTGTACTTTTTTTTTTGCATATTATGTGTCATTTGGATTTAGGGGTAATTTCAATTTTTTTTCCCTCAAGGTCTGCTTCTGTAGTAACACAAACATTTGTTAAACCCTGATCCTAGACTTGGGTTGAAACTGCTTGGTAAATATAATAATAATACATAGCCTATATTATTATCATTAATTACCAAATGTATTCATACCACTGTTTCCTTATCAAGTAGCTAATACTGTATGAGAGCAGCGCTGTCTTGAAGAGTCAGTTATTACTGATGTTTTTTATGCAATGAATTCTGAATCAAACCACACAAAAATCTGAAACTGTATTTTGCAGACAGGCAGATTCATTGTAGTATCTTACCTGATTATTGAACTGCATCACCATGTCTGTAACATCGCCTGTAAACAATAACAAACTCCATTAAACACACACATTGCTTTGGTTAATTAAAGATTCTTACATTTCCAATCTTTTTAAAACTATCTATATGTCATACTCACTATGTTGTCCTGCTTGACGTTTGCGATAGTAAATCACACCAGCAGCAACGAGCAGCAGAACAAGAGCAGCTACACCAACACATAGGACTACTACTATTCCTGCTGGGGCTGAAGACAGACCTGAATCGGAAACCACTAAAGACAGACAGTTATTATTATTTTGTGAGTGACGGATAATGAACTTTAACACCGTGTCTACACCAAACCGGTGTCACGTCAAGCTCACACTAGACACGACCGTTGCAAATCCATTCCACCTTCGTGTCAGAAGTAGCACGAGCGCTTGCAATACATCAGAAATAGAATGTAACATCAGTTTACTGTCTGAGATTGAAAGGGTCATGAAACCCCCCGGGTTAGCACTGGTTAGTTCTCACCACAGTTTTAAAAAACCATAGACTGTATAAAAACATGGACGTAGTGTCCGTGACGTCACCCGTAGGTTCCTGAAGAGGTTTTTGAAGCTCAAAGTGGGCGGAGCCAGCCGTCGCCATCTTGGCAGCATGTCACTCCCGGATAATCGAAAATGGGCAAAAAAGGCGGGAGCTGGTTGCTGAAACCACACCCACCTAGCTCGATGGTGGTGACAGCAGCAGCAATCCACCTGTCACTCAAGTGGCCACGCCCTTAATTATGCAGAACTTTTAAGGCTTAATATAATTTAAATGGATGACTTATAAAAAAAATTCACCCCCTCACAGTTGTCATGAAGGACAAAATTAGCTATATAAACCAAAAATCATTTTTTGAACCAGGCTGCAAACATGTTTTTTTCTGCTGTAAAGTCCCTTTTGCAGCCAGCCTCTAGCGGCCAGTTGATGAATTACAGTTTAAGTCACTTCCGTGTTGGCTTCGCAATAGAGAGCGCAAGGTTGCCGCTTGCAAAAAACGCTAAAAAACAAAACAAAAAAAAGTGGTGGAGGTTCGGTTATTGTGTTAAATGGTGTCAATTTCAATGGGTCAAATGGTAACAGAAAACACGTCTATTGAGGTGAAGAAGAGACCTTTCATACTTAATTTTAAAGTCCGAAAAGTTAATTCAGGAAAACAACTTGAATGCAGTCAGCAATACATAGGCCGCATGCCACATTCTTCCAATCAATGACACCGCAAATATGAAAATAAGGTCATTAAGCAAAGGCAAATTAAGAGCAGTGCGAAACGTGAAACAAGATAACCCAAGCTTGTGTTTTCACAGGGTTTAGTTTGAAGGGCCCAAGTCCACTTTGTCAAACAGCCCTGTAGAAAAAAACCAGCATATGCTGGTTAGGTATGTTTTGAAGCTGGGATGCTGGTTTGAGCTTGTCCTTTGCTGGCCGGACCAGCACATGACCAGCATCCCAGCTTGAAAACATACCTAACCAGCATATGCTGGTTTTTTCAACAGGGCGACTACAGTGAAAACATTTACTAGGTTGATTAAAACATTTCAAACTGTTTTCTAAAACTGCTCAAGGGGAAAGGAAATAAATGGCCAAATGATACTCACTAGGGACAGTGACACTGAAGCTCTTTATGATGCTGATTCTTCTGCTGCTGCTGCTGATCTGTAGTTGATAGAGTCCAGACTCTGTGGTTGTGATGTTTGTGATGGCCAGAGATCCAGTCTGATGATCCAGCTTCAGTCTGTCTCTGAATCTCTCATCAGCATCTGTACAGATCTTACTCTGGTCTCCAGTGATTTCAGCGATGTGAATGTCACTAAAATACCACGTCATCAAATCATTTGGATTTTTGATTACTCCTGTGTCTAAAGTGACAGATTCTCCCTCCTGCACTGACTTCCTCTTCATTTCATCTCGTTCAACAGCAGGAACTTCTGTAACACAAACCAGCAGGTGAAACAAAAATCAACAACAAACTAAATCCACAGCATAAAAGAACTGTGGATATGAAAGAGATTTTCATGCGCTTTCTTGACTTTCAGTCTACAAAGCACATTTGTCTGTCCATATTTTGTGCTTAAACATATTTTGCATACTTTTTTTTTTTTTACATCAAATTCTCTGCTATTTGAATCACTGAACAATCATAGAACAATGATCAGATTTAAATGTACAAAACTTGCTATATTAAGCAATGGCTCACCATAGACAGTAACACTGAAGATGCCTTGATTGATGCTGCTGCCGCTGATGACTTGTTTATGATAAAGCCCAGAGTCTGTGGTTGTGGTGTTTGTGATGGTCAGAGATCCAGTCTGATAATCCAGCTTCAGTCTGTCTCTGAATCTCTCATCACTATATTTACACTGAACATCTGTGCAGATAAAACTGAGATCTTCAGTGATTTGAGCGATGCGAGTGTCATTAAAATACCATCTAATCTCCTCTTGTTGGTTTGTTTCAACATCAGTGTGTAGAATGACTGAATCTCCCTCCATCACTGACACACTCACTGCATCAACATAAGCTGAAGAAACGAACATAATTATAAGCCAAACAAAATTATAAAATAGGAAAATGCTGTGAAAATGTCCTCTTCTACAGATCATAAAGAGACAGATAGTTTTCATTTCACATAGTGGATCAGACACCTACGAGATCAAAGATGAATATATTTTGTGAGTTTCATCACTAAATAACACTCACTAGTGACATCAACAATGAAGCTCCTTCTGATGCTGAACCGGATGGTGATTATCAGCAGATAATAGAGTCCAGTGTCTTCACTTCTGGTGTTTGTGATGGTCAGAGATCCAGTCATATGATTCAGCTTCAGTCTGTCTCTGAATCTCTCGTCAGCATATAAACACTGAACATCTGTACAGATAAAACTAAGATCTCCATTGATTTCAGCGATGCGAATGTCATTAAAAAGCCATTTCATCAAATAATTTGTGGTTTTCATTACACCAGGATCTAAAGTGACAGATTCTCCCTCCTTCACTGACATTCTCTTCATTTTCTCTCGTTTAGGAACATCTGAAACACAAACCAACAGCTGCTGGAGGATCTTTTGCTGAAAGCAACAAACAAACTACACGACATGAGAGGACTGTGGATCAGATAAGGAACATAATGACTCACAATAGACAGAAACACTGAAGAGCTGAAGAAGACTGTCGCTGCTGCTGGTGATCTGTAGTTTATAAAGTCCAGAGTCTGTGATTGTGATATTTGTGATGGTCAGAGATCCAGTCTGATGAACCAGCTTCAGTCTGTCTCTGAATCTCTCATCAGCATCTTCACACTGAACATCTGTGCAGGTCTTACTGGGATCTGCACTGATTTCAGCAATGCGAATGCTATTAAAATACCAACTAATCTCCTCTTGTTGGTTTGTTTCAACATCAGTGTGTAGAGTGACTGAATCTCCTCGCATCACTGACACACTCACTGCATCAGCATAACCTGAAGAAATTAACATAACTATAAGCCAAACAAAATTATAAAATAGGAAAATGCTGTGAAAATGTCCTTTTCTACAGATCATAAAGATTGAGAGTAGTGAAATAAGTGCAAGACAGACAGTGCTCATTTCACATAGTGGATCAGACACCTACGAGATCAAAGATGAATATATTTTGTGAGTTTCATCACTAAATAACACTCACCAGTGACATCAACAATAAAGATCCTTCTGATGCTGAATCTGCTGCTGATTATCAGCAGATAATAAAGTCCAGAGTCTGTGCTTCTGGTGTTTGTGATGGTCAGAGATCCAGTCTGATGATCCAGCTGCAGTCTGTCTCTGAATCTCTCATCACACTCATCATCTGTACAGATAAAACTAAGATCTCCATTGATTTCAGCGATGCGAACGTCATTAAAAAACCATGACACCTACGAGATCAAAGATGAATATATTTTGTGAGTTTCATCACTAAATAACACTCACCAGTGACATCAACAATAAAGATCCTTCTGATGCTGAATCTGCTGCTGATTATCAGCAGATAATAAAGTCCAGAGTCTGTGCTTCTGGTGTTTGTGATGGTCAGAGATCCAGTCTGATGATCCAGCTGCAGTCTGTCTCTGAATCTCTCATCACACTCATCATCTGTACAGATAAAACTAAGATCTCCAGTGATTTCAGCGATGCGAACGTCATTAAAAAACCATGTCATCAAATAATTTGTGGTTTTTATTACAGCAGGATCTAAAGTAACAGATTCTCCCTCCTTCACTGACTTTCTCTTCATTTGATCTCGTTCAGGAACATCTGAAACACAAACCAACAGCTGCTGGAGGATCTTTTGCTGAAAACAACGAACAAACTACACGACATGAGAGGACTGTGGATCAGATAAGGAACATAATGACTCACAATAGACAGAAACACTGAAGAGCTGAAGAAGACTGTCGCTGCTGCTGGTGATCTGTAGTTTATAAAGTCCAGAGTCTGTGATTGTGATATTTGTGATGGTCAGAGATCCAGTGATTTCAGCGATGCGAACGTCATTAAAAAACCATGTCATCAAATAATTTGTGGTTTTTATTACAGCAGGATCTAAAGTAACAGATTCTCCCTCCTTCACTGACTTTCTCTTCATTTGATCTCGTTCAGGAACATCTGAAACACAAACCAACAGCTGCTGGAGGATCTTTTGCTGAAAGCAACAAACAAACTACACGACATGAGAGAACTGTGAATATTAAAGTGATCGTATAAGGGACATAATGACTCACCATAGACAGAAACACTGAAGAGCTGAAGAAGACTGTCGCTGCTGCTGTTGGTCTGTAGTTTATAAAGTCCAGAGTGTGTGGTGTTGATGTTCCTGATGGTCAGAGATCCAGTCTGATGATCCAGCTTCAGTCTGTCTCTGAATCTCTCAGTGCCATTATAACACTGAACGTCTGTGCAGGTCTTATTGAGATCTCCACTGATTTCAGCAATGCGAATTCCATTAAAATACCAACTAATCTCTTCTTGTTGGATATTTTCAGTGTCAGTGTGTAGAGTGACTGAATCTCCCTCTGTCACAGACACTGGCACTATATCTGTATCAACACCGGAAAAAAATAAGGAATAAACAGTTAATTAATAAAGCCAGCTAATTTAATTAAATTTTCACCACATTAATTTCATACATTTAGTACAAATATGTGGTCTTGTTTTATTAATACTGTACACTGTATAAATTGCCAAATAACAAATTGGAGATTAAAAAAATGAGACGAAAAATTAACTTGAGCAAGAAATTTAACTACGGCAACTTTTGCTATGATTAAATGTTCAGTGATTTCTTCCAAAGATCCAAAGGCACATTTTTTGTTGATAAAGCATCTAGTAGCCTAAATACACACCACGCTACACAGAGCGAGTGAGAGAGAGAGAGAGAAAAGCACAAACGGCCTTTTTTTTCTTGAGAGTGTAGCCCAGGGCTGTCCAAACTCGGTCCTGGAGGGCCGGTGTCCTGAAGAGTTTAGCTCCAACCCTAATCAAACACACCTGAAGCAGCTAATCAAGCTTTTACTAGGCATACTAGAAACTTGAAGGCAGGTGTGTTGAGGCAAGTTGGAGCTAAACTCTGCAGGACACCGGCCCTCCAGGACCGAGTTTGGACACCCCTGGTGTAGCCCATGTGGAAACTTTTGAAGCAAGGATGTGTCTGAAATCGTCCCCTATAGGACACTATTTGAGGGCACAGCCATTTATAGTGGTGGACGTTATCGAGTGCACTCATTAAGTTTCCATAATGCAAAGCAATAACAAGTGTTAGAGCAACAACAACTCAACGGCTAGAGAATACCCTCTCTCTCACTCTGGTTTTAATTAATGGCGGCCTAGAAAACACACATCTGAAGGTCGTCTCGAATGCATTCCCGCGTCTCGCCAGAAGGTGGCGGCCGCAGCTAAATCATCCATCCATTTAATGGATTATTACGAAAAAAAAGTAACACAATTTAGATGTTAAGCTTAAACTGTTCACATTTCTAATTTGTTCACATTTTTAAAACGATACGTAGTTTGTGTAAAAACATCGTCTTCTCTGTTTTTCCTGACTGATTCCATTCATTAGGCAGAGCAAACATGGTGTTACTCTATAATACAATCCACTTTTGCTCAGTGTTGTGTTTAGTTTTTGTTTGTTTGTTGTTTTAACTTGTGAGGCTTTAAAATTGGGCCATTTGAATAATTTGATAATTATTAAATAAACAGACTCACAAATCCTGCTGCTCCACAGAACGCCACCCACACAGGCTAGTTTTTTTATTATTACATTATATATATGTCACAAATCGTTTTTAACGTGCAATGCTAGGCTGTAAGATTTGGTATTTTTCAGCAGAACATTTGTCTTCTGTGGCTTTAATAAAGGCCGTATATGCTTCGAATAATTTTATTATTATTAACATTATTCCTCTTTTTCTTTTTTTTAATAAAGGTAATATTACTTGAAAAGAGATAGCAACGTATAAATGTCTTACCGTGCCCACGAACACACAAAAGTAAAAAGAGAAAAATAAAGATGTGCTTCATTTTCATTTTGTGCTAAAACACGATGCAGATTCAGTGAAGTAAAAACGCTCTGATGCTGGAAGTGAAAGTAATTTGTGAGGCTCCCCAGCTAACAATGGCCTGGCACAAATTCAATGACCGGACCACCCTGTGCAAGCCAACAAGTCTAAAAATGCTGCTCTTTGGGTGGCACGCAAGCCCGCTGGACGGACCGGTGTTTCTACTGAGCTCTTACATAAATATATACTATATTTCACAGTTAAAAATAATCCTTAATCTGCAAATGCTGTGTAGACGTTATTTTATTTTGTTGAATTGCATTGCTTATTTGCAACAATGCATGATCAGTGAAAATTGTACATATTTTGACCTTTGGGAAACATGCAAAGGGCAGTACTCAAGCAAAACAAACAAAAAAAGAGATTAAAACAAAATATGAAAGGAAAAAAAAGTATACCAATCATCCTGTTCAAAAGTTTGCATCCTCGGTAATGAAGTCACACCGGTCTGCTGATTATTTTTTTTCTATATTGGTTTTTAGATAGGCCTATATTTTTAGATTTGCTTAGTATATTTTTCTCTCATATTTTTGAAACCTTTGGGAAGTCTGAATTTTAAATACGTCATGTCAGTTATAGTTTTTCTGCATAACATTACTTAGTTTGAATCATTGTAAAAGTTAAAAAGAAGTATATAAATACTCTTTACATGGCAATCACCCTGCAAGGCATTTGTTCCAGCGAAGGTGAACCATGTCTAATTTGACTGCTCAGCTAATAGTTTTTAATCAGGACTGTATTTAGTAGAATTACATGTGTTCTGCTTGGACAGAACAAAACCTTCGCACACTGGCCTTAGTGTTTGGTGGGAGTGTGGTAAAAAATATATATATATATAAAAAAAGAATCTAAATGTTGTTGTGCTCTTGAGCAAGGTGTTTCATTACAAAACCTCTTCATAGGTGATGCACTGTATTAAACATGTAAACAAGACAATTGTGCTAATTTATTCTTTCTACGTTTTTGTCATCATCGAATGTGGTCTAAAATGCAGGCAATCATTACATTTTCACTGCTGTACTGCACATCAACAGCAATCAGACGTGATAGTCTTATTACACATTTTAAAATGTCTAAAAATTCGGCATCTGGACAGCCTTCAAAAAAAGAAGACAGTCACGACAGTCATGTCTTCATAAGTCAATTGCAAAATGGCATCTTTTTAGTACTGACAGACTGATAGATCTGTTCATGACTGCAGCGAGTGATATCAGGCCAGATGCAGTTGTGAATAATCAAGAGACAGATTCTGTATGCAAAGCCATGCAAGGTTGAGATTGGGGACAAGCATATCCTCCTGATGATGCAGGCCTTCGAGGGATTTTGAGGTACAGCTTTTGAACTTCTTTGCTTGTAAACTTTTAATATCTGTAGTGGAGTGTTAAGAAAGAATGCAGCATTCACAGTTGTCACAAATTACCCACTGAGGGTGAATTGAGTAAACCAAATGCACTTTATTAACAAAACTATAAACAAACATAAAGACTTTACTTAAACAAAACAAAAAATAATCACAGAACGTGACATCTATATACTGTATTTACTGAATCTGGTCTAAATGTATATTTCTATATTTAACAGGGTGCCCCTCTTCAGCTAGGAGGAATTGATTGTGGGGTACTCATGTTGATGGTAAGTGGTCTCATAATTGCTGTACAGCTGTGTCTGTGTGCTGAACACCACATTTGTTAATATAGTCTTGGTTTAATTTTGCACTCAATGTTACGCTCTCAAAGTCATTTGATTTTGCTGTGGTGAGCTTGCACCAATTCATGGTTATTTGTAAAGCAAAAAGGACTGTGAGAACACTATCAACAAAATTTTGTAAAAAATGATTAAGATTTTCAATTGCTGTCTTATATCAGTCTGACATACCTATAATCAGGAAGTGGTGGTGATATCAGTTAATTCAGACTTTCCTCTGACAAGGTATGATATTGATAAATAAAGAGTTCTGGCATGAAACTCTAGATGGCGCAGTCCGATAGGTCTAACTCAATCTGACCTAATGACATTATCACATGGCACAGCTGATTGGTTCTCTCCTGTATCAGTAGCCAATGAGCTCGCTGCTAAACATTCAAATATATGACTAGTGCTTGCCGTAGCAGTTGCAGCTTACTTCAGAAACCCTCCACCTTCCCCAGCTTCACCTGTATAGATCTGCTACGAGGTGATTCATGTGTGCTATATGGGGGTTATTTCATGTACATCATATTTGTTGCAAGAGTATTTCTTACATGCTCACAGCAGCATGTTGTGGATGTATTGGCAGTAGCAACTTAAGTTTTGGTGCTTGCTCTGCCGCAGCAGCAGCAGTGTAGCAGATCTATTCCGCTAAGACCAAATACATGAACATTGTCATGTACATTACCATGCCAATCCCACCGAGAGTTGTCATGCCAGAACTATACTTTTGAATAAAACCTCCATATGTGCATTTCCAGTATGTAGGCAATGTATAAGAAATAAAGCAATGCATGCCTAAAAACACTGTAATGTTTGTCATTTCCCACAGTCAAGTCCCACAACTAGTCACCCAGGAACAAAAACGACCAAATCCAGATGACATGGAAGTCATTCCAACTGAGTCAGATATCATGCAGATCACTCCAACACCAAGAATATTTGTATAGAGGGAATGTA